ATTTTTATTTTACCTTTCCATCACCACGAAGGCTAATTTAGCTTTCTAAATTGGTCCAAATCAGAATTAGAACATAAAAAAAAAATCAGAAATCTGATTAGTTCAACTTCAGTAATTAGTTTTAGGCCACATAATAAACAGCAGAATGGCCACCCAAAAATTGGCCAGTTCTGTTTAACCATGGGATCGGTGCACTGCTAGTGATTTTGATGCTACATGTTGAGAGTCACAGTATCTGGGGAAATTAACTTCTTCGTTTGTGTCTGGATTTTAAATCTATTATCCCTGTCAGACTTCTGAAAAAAATAACAACAAACAAAAAACAAAAAAAACAAAAGAAAGAAATCAGTGTCAGCAAAGAGGAGAAGCCTGATTGGCACATCTCTATTGCTAATCTTTTTCAAGTTCACAGTTTGTCATGATAGCTTATCACGTTTCAACTATCAAAGGCAGAGATCAAATCGGTCTTAAATACACATATTCATGGACACATTCTGAAACACATGGCTGGGAGGAGAATACAATACCACTCATCTCCTGATTCACTGAAACCACCACACTAGATGATTCATGGCCTTGCAGAGATCCTCGGGAATTTCTGAGCAAGAAGAAGGCATGTATGTGTGTGTGTGTATATATATATATATTTATATTTATTACAGTCCCATGATTAGCAGTTCTAAAAACAGCGTGTACAGAAACCTCGACAACACAAGAGGCCAAGCCAAGAAGTCGGTGAAGTGGCCAAGCAGAGGCAGTAGAAACAAATTATCTCAGATTTATAGAAGATAAGGCCGCATTGCAAGCTCCTGACAGAACTGCTGCAAAACTCTACAATCTTCAACAAGAACAGGGGGGATAAAGAAACACTTACCAGCTCATTAATTCTCTGTTTTGCTTTCTAGTGTCTGAAATGTTCAAATCTAAAGCGGAGGGGAATGACAACACGGAACAACGGAGAGAGCACCCTCCGCTTTTCCACCCAGAGACAGACAGGAATCAGGCTCATCTAGTGTTACACAAACCCTAAAACTGTAGTAAGATAAGCTGTGCTGCTCGAACCTCACACAACTACAATACAATACATATATTTTAATGTATGTGTATATATTTTGAATGAAAATAAATATATTAACTTTAATGGTGACTTGCGAGTTACTATGAGAACTCCCCTTGGGAATAAGCTAACTAGCCTAGCTCTCGTTAACAGAACTTGTTTAGCATGAAGTTAATGTCAAACGCTTCACAAAAAGCAAGCTTACCTACTTAAAGAATAAAGTTTAGGACTAACATCTTCTCTTTAAAACGACAATTAATTTAAAAACGATGTTGTTTTACTCCTGACGTGCAGCATGAGCTGCTTTTGTCTTTCACCGTCAGTCTCTTTCCAGAAACTTTTTAAACTTCTAATAAGTGACGCAAGGCTAATGTGTGTTAGCCGTTAGCCTAGCCCTCCTCAGTGGGACCGAGCAGCGAGCCGACGGACGCCGCACCGATGACGCTCTCTACGTTTCACTTTTACTCGTTTGCCGCAATGGCAAAGCTGGGGTTCAGCTACATACCTTCGTACGGAGTTAAGGTTCCATACATATGGTGATTCTTGAATATATTTCAATCCAAAGTCCCAACTTTTCTACTTGTAAATTACGCCTTGCTTCAGCCGACTCTTCTCTCCGACTCCTCACGCCGTGTCCTCCAGATCCAGGAGACAACTAGGCTGGAAACAAACGCATATCCCTCCGCCGCCACCAAAAGAAACAAAAAAATAGTTCTCACTCTAGCGAGAACTGGAGTGAACTGGGCTGGAGACTTGCCAAATCTCCAGTCCGGTCATCTTAACTGCATCAAACACATTTTATTTCAGAGGCACGCTTAAAATAAGATTTACTCGATCCATTTTGCGCATGATCAAGGGCGCTCCAACTTAAAACGTTTTTCCCTCCAACTACATGTACGCGAAAATAAAGGCGAAAACAGCTCCAAATCCAAAACCTGCTTCATGTGTAAGAAAGCGACAATAATGTAAGCGCAGTGTTTCGTTTCTGTGTGTTTCCGTGTTGTATGTGAAGTCTTACGGGGGTCGTGCTGAGGCTGGGGAACGTCTGTCTCTCTGGCTCACAAGTTGCTGGCTCCACTCAGTCTGGAGCGCTGCGGTTTGTTGTATTGTTGCCCTTTGTTGTCAGTCGCTCGAGACTTCAACAATTCCCGCGTTGCTAATCCGTTTAGTTTTAATGAATTCAGCCAGCTCCTCCAGACTCGCTCCCGTTTTCGCGGACGAAACTCCTCTCACGGACCGCACTGTTAGGAATGCGGACTCTCCATTCAGCCTCCGAATATAGTGCGGTATTTGTAGACTCGCCACTAGTGGGCAGCCGTCGACCTGTTAATCAAGCGGATCATTTGTGTGAATCTGATGAATTTTCTATTTTTTAATTATCGAACGCTTTGGGAAATATTTCTAAACAGAGGCGACCAAAAATTGTGAGGCCATGGGCAGGATTTGATTTGGGGCCCAATTCAAGATTGTCTGAATGTGATATTCCATCCATCCATTGTCTATCCTGAATTTTAAAATCTGTTACTTAACATAGCTTATTAAATAAATATCAGTAAATATTGTACATTGTGGATGTAGGTTTATTTCACCGACTTATTCATTTGGTGCTGATATTGTCTACCGTCCAGCTTTTCAATTCTGACTAAGTAAAGAGGGACAGGAGGAGTCACACTTAATAATTTGTACTCCCATAAAAACGATTGCAAAATAATTGCAATTTATTCAAATTTACTTAGTTTTCGTATTTGCATGAAAAGAGATTCGTGCATAAACACAAACAGAAGTTACACAATGCTAATTATGACTGTTAATAAGAAATAGATCCAAACTGAATAGAAGAACAAAAGTCCCAGAGCAATTTTAAATGCAATCCAAACGCTCATGAATTCAGATTTAAAGTTTTGAGATTTGCAATCTGTAAGAAGTCAAGCACACTTGGGAGCCCCCTGCTGGTCTGGAGGTGTAGATGCCTCCATACGTGATCTTTCACAATGTATGGTAATATCGAAAGATAGAGGTCCTTTTCTCACGAGGTTTCTTTTTGTCGGTATCTGGACTATTAATATTTATCTTTGAGTGAAATAAATAAATTAAATAAAAACGGGGACAACCTGACCACTTGCCAACTCTCCGATAAGAGTTGGCAAGTGGTCAATTTGCCAACTTTTATAGTTGGCAAGTTTTGCTTAAACCATCACTTAAAAGTTTTTGATAAACATCTACTTTGGAAAATGTGTCAATTTTAAAGAACCCCGTGATATTTCTGTTCTTAGGTTTCAAAGTAAAGAAAACCAAAAAAACTAACAGCAAATAAGATTATTCATATTTTTCTATGGGATGTTAAAATTTAAGGAAAATAATAATAATTTAAAAAAAAAACATGATCTGAAAATATTTTTAATGTCATTCCGTTGTGTAAAATCCATTCATCACATGAATAAAACCCATTGAAACCAGCTTTTGTTTTTCAGTTTACATTGAAAATGTTCCTGAATTTTAAAAACATAAATTTCAGGCCAGTTATTAAGAACTATTATGGAAGATCCAACGAGCCACAGGTGCAAACAAGAAAGTGAATCTGCTAAAAAATAAATACTTTATGGTTGCAATGTGCAAAAGTTCATAGGGTGCAGATACTTTTCCCAAGACATTGTGCTTTTTGTTTTTATATTGCAGCCACTTCTGCTCCATATGGGAACCAAAAACAGCTGCATTTTTGATAGACAATCTAAGCATATACTTTATAAATTACAGCCTTCTGCACAAAAGTTTGCACACATACACACACATTCCTGTGTCCATTAAATTACTGTATCAAATGTACTCTACAAGCTGTGCCCTGCATTTAAATTCATAGTGATGCTTTTTCCACAAGTCATTAACAACACACAGCATATTAAGGTGAGCTTGTTGCTTCTTCGTGGCATTGCTTTCCACCGCACATGTCGGGGAACAAACGGTTGGCGGCTTCCCCAGTCGTCGGAGGAGCTGCATCAACTCGACATTCACAAACAGCAAAGCAATTCATGGTAGAAAATTTGCAACTAGAGAAAGCAACTGTGCGAAGCAACCCTTTACAACCGGATCACTTCCAGAGTAATTTAGCGAGGAACGCTCATCTGTAGAAAGCCAATACAGAAAAGGTCGGAGTGTTATTAGTGAGCTGCTCTGCCAAGCAGGAAAACCTTGGAAAGAACAACTCAAACTATGTTTGATTCAAGGAAGGATTTTAAAGGATACTATTCAGAGCTGCAGGTAAAAATTGTCTTCGTAATCCATTATTCTGTCGATTAATCGATTAATTGGGTGAAAAAAAAAGTTATCTTATAAACACTTGAGTTTATTTTATACAGTATTAGAAGTACATTAAAAGGTGCAAATAAACAATAGAATTCCTTCTTTTGAATAGGAAAATAAACATTTGACTGCCGAAAATGTAGTAACACGACACTCCTGTAACGAACACTGGATGATTGGTAGCACAGGATGCATCTGCAGGTAAAAAATACCTCAACCTGACCTGATGATTAGTTTTGGATTAAATTATTAGTAATTGGATGAATTTTAATCAGGCGAAGCTAAAGCTATGCCACTTAAGAATTTTTCTTTCGCCAGAACATATATAGAGATTTTTATTTTATCTCAAATGTTTTTGTTCAGCTTCGTTTTGATTAGTGCCCCGAATATGGTCTCTTTCTTTATTCAACTTTTCCCAAGAGAGAATTATCATTAAAAAGTGGGAAACGTTCAGGAAAGCAGCTCGACTTCTTACACTGAAAAGAGAAATTAGATGAAAACTCATTAAGCGTCATTATACATAATAAAACTAAGATATGAACACAATAGGACAAAACATGAAGGCTGACTTTGGAATAAAAAAAATCTGTTAAGAACATTACTACACTGCTTTTCAACAATAAACCAAACAGTGAAACTATAGACAAGCATTTAAAACTATGAATTTATTTTCTTCAACTCATCATGACAAGGAATGTTTAGTTATACTTTTTTTTTTTTTTTTACATAATTTACAAGAAATAAACCAAGTTCAAACAACAATCACAACAAAAATTAAATTATTAAATGGTGCAGTAAATTACACTGATTAAAAATAAAAAGTCTGAAAATTAACCCGTGCATTTTCTACACATTCCCCAGGTGGTTGTCTCCCTCCCACCAGTCGACATGAGAGTTGGTTTTAAGATCCTCTAAGACGAGCAAAGAAAGTGATCAGAGTGAAAACTAAACAAAACCTCTTGTGATAAGATAAGAAACAGTAATGATCAGTTTTCTGACCAACTTGTTCACAACACATTTGGACACACCAACAGCATTTCTGTAAACTCGGGATGCACCGATGAACCAGACTCAGACTTTCTTCATTTTGGGTGACCGGCCGGTCGAGTCAGAATGATATTAGCATGCAAGATTGACTTTTTCGCTATACATTTAGCAACTTTCTAAACAAAAAATGCATTTTTTTTATTCTTTACTAAAACAAAATAAAAAAGTGGCATCAGCTAAAAGTGGCTTTTTAAAGGTTGACAATCGGCCCGAAAAACAAAAAAACCTGGAATCGCTGCGCCTCTACTGCCCACACGACACAGTAATTGGATTAGAGGAAGTTTTAAGTCCCATTTTGATGGTCACCACTCTAAAAATGATTTGCCTTCTCACGTAGATTTTCTAATTCACTTTGGCGTTTTGACATCATCTTAAAAGAGACTACTGTAGTTTTCAGAATCCTGCTTTCCGCCAGATTTTTCAGAATATACTGGCGAACAACAACAACAACAAAATCATTTCAGATGAGCTGAATTTCGTATTAGACAACATTCAGAGCACTGTCCTTCTAATGAGAGGTCACAGTCAACAGCAGAGCTTCCTCTTCGTGAAGAATGCATGCACCGTCAGTACACCGGGTCTGATTGGAGCTGGCTAACATGCACAAATGCTGAACGTGTCACAAAGACTGCATAAAGAGCCAGAAAAAAAATTTAACTAAAAATGTCTTTATGGAAATTGCTGACTTTTTTGATTTGGTTTTTAGAGCTCTGAGGCATCTGTAATGTTCTGCCTCCATGTTCTGTTGTGCTGAGTGTGACTTGGGTGTCGTCCTGTGATTTCTAGAGATGCATGCATGCAACTGCCAGGATTTCATACGGCGCTGAAATCCGATTGTTCTGCACATAAGTTGCCCTGAAACACGAATATTTGGAGGTTAAATCATCGAAGAATCCTCGAGGCATACTCACTTTCAAAGTAGGCGTTGGCGTTTATCGCTTATCATTTATCGTGATACATTTCCTATAAGAAAGAACTATAAATTCTAATTTATGAAGTTCAAAGCCATCCGTATTGTTATTTTTTTGCTCCTCCTTTCAATCAATGAATGCCAACACATTTGAAAGTGTGACTAAATGCAGTCACTTACATTATGTGGTAATCTTTGGGAAGGAGCAGTCCGGTCAGTCAAGATATTTTAAAGAGCCTGGTAAAAATCTAAAAAGGACAAAAACCTTTCGTAAAGCTTCTACAGGGAATGTCTTCCGGTTTTACGTCACCGCTCCCCAACAGCAACAAATCTCCAAATGTTGGCTGTGCGTCTTGAAATCGATTGCACCGGTCAGACTCATTCACCCAGCGAGAAAGGAAAGCACAGGCAGTAACTCTGCTCAGAGTTAGCAGGTTGAACCTCTGACATTTAGAGACAGAAGATCCTTTCTCCACCAAGTGTTTATGAAAGCGAAGTTACCAAACGGTTTCTCCAGTTCGTGAACCGATAACTGCCTCCAAATGGGGCTGAATGCAATTACTGTGTGCTGGGAGTATCGCAGCGAAACAGTGACAAGTATGTTTTATTCTCAGAGTAATTTTTCTTTTTTTTAGATGTACTTGGTCGGATGTAAAACACAATCTTCCTTGTCATGCAGCGATTTTACATCTGTTGATTTGACCGATTTTCTTCCCTGCCAAGTAATCAGTTAAAAAATAATTATACGCATTTACAGATACGTTAAAACATGCGACACGGTCCGCAGCTAAACGAGTCCCGTACTCGGCTGAAAAGCTGCGCGGTGAGGAAGAGGCCATGACTCCCAAAGCCAATGTAAAACCAAGATTACAGCTCGCAAAATGCTCTCCGGAACAAACGGATCCAGGGTGAAACGAAACTTGGTAAAAGTGTTTCTGGTCTCGATGACCACCGGCAAAATTTTGAGGGGAAAGTGGGAAGTTTATAAGCACGTGTAAAATGTGTGGGTGGGTTTTATTTTTGCTGCAGGAGGGACTGGTGCGCATTACAAAACAGATAGTAAAGTGTGAGGAAAAAACTTTCATGTGGACATGCTGAAGCAACGTCATCAGAGAAGGGAAAGTTAAGGCGCAAAAGAGTCATTATCCTAAGCAGACTGCCAAATTAGTTACAAAAAGGCTCAAGGACAATACAGTCAATGTGTTGGCATGGCAACCAGTTCGGTCAGGAGGAATGGTGCCAGATTTTTGGGAATCTTGTGGAAATGGCCACAAAAGGTTTGATCCGACTCATACAGTTTAATAAAAGGCAAGTTTATTAAGAGCCAAGTAAAATGATCTCTTAAGTTTTTGGGGAAATTTTTGGGAAATAATTCTGGTATCATTTTGTTTCACTGTATTGGATCAAATTGAGAGGGTCAAATTTTGACTTCTGGATATTCCCTTTGAATATGTAATAATAATAAAAATTGCGTGACGCTCCCCTGGACTCAGAGCTGCATTTGGCCTTCAGACACTGAGATATAAAAGTGACATTTTGTCTTTCTGTTGGCTAAACCAACACCTTGTTCTCTGAAAGCATCTGTTTGGTTTTACAGTCACTGGTCATGTCAAAGTTTCCTGCCAATAACCTGGTTTCAATTCAGTCACTGATCATCATTAAAAAAAAGAAAAAGAAAAGAAAAAAAGCAGCACATTCTGAACAATGTTTAAAACGGTAAAAGGAAGGACAGTTACAATGCTCAACGGTCAGATATTGTAGCAGATGAAGGCACTGAAAACACGTTTGAGGAAGAAAAAAAATTGTCTTTAGACTCTGCTATGTTGGATCAATTACCAAATTTCTCCAGCATCAGGGATCCTTTACTGATTACGACAAAGTGACATTTCGGATTCATGAGGCAAAAAGCTGGTGAGGTCTCCTTTGGTGCCGGACACTATCTGTCCTGGTTCTCCGCCCTGAGGCCGGAGTCCGAGGCATCCTCTGAGGGCGTGTCCAGGACGGGGTTGACAAACCCTTCGAATTCGGCGTCGCCACCGTCCTCCGGGTGAGTACTCACAAAGTCGTTCTCCCACTCCAGAGCGTTGGAGTCCTCGGAGGCCGAGGTGGGCCCACTGGTCACCTGTTTGCTGCCGGGCCGCAGGGCGGCCCGCAAGATATCCTCCTCGGTCCGAGACCGCTCCCAGGCCGGCAGAGCTCGGTTGATACCTGTGGAGGAAAGACGACGTCTTTATCTCCAACTTCTACAAGTCTTTATTATTATTAATTTGAAGGGTTTCCGCAGGTGTCACCAACTCAAATTTAAGAGTTTTTAAGACCTTTACGATTGGAATTTAAGACATATATCTCCACAGAAATGTATTGACGCCATCCAGCCAAATGGCGACAAATTTGCAGCTATCCAGGACGGATGCAAAAAACAACAACAAAAAAGAAGCTCCCTAGATAGCTAGCAAGTTAGCAGCCAGTTAGCAGTAGCCTCTACCGTCTCCAGACTGCGTGCGACTCAAACTATTGCCTGACAGAAGAATCCCACAGGAAATATATATATATATATATATATATATATATATATATATATATATATATATATATATATATATATATATATATATATACAGAAGATGCAAGACTAAATAATCCTGTCAAGACAATATTTAAGACCTTTGATGTACATTTTGCCACCTTCCTAAAATACTGCCACAGATCTTTTTGTTAAAAAATGTTTAGGCAAAAAGAAAAAAAGAATCACCACCTTTCACAACAAAAGATGTTTCAGCCCCAAAAAAATCACTTCTGGCAAAAATAAATAAATTACAGGCTACTATTTTAAGAAGGAGATATTAAAGACAAGGTTACTTTTTTAAATGTCATTTCAGACATGTTAAGGCCTTCATTTAAGATTCATGAAGTTAAGACCTTTTAAGGATGAGCAGACAACCAGCTTTAGAAATTACTTAGTGGCTTGATGTTTTTACATTGTTGTGTTGCAAAATCACAAATCAGGGTTACATCAGTTGCAATTCTCTGGCCTGACTTGTCGATTTCGATTTTGTCTGGGAAGTTGCTAAATAAAGCAACAAAGTTCGCCAACTTAGCAACAACGGGGTGATGGCTGTTAATTAGAATGTGTAGACTTGACCTGACGGGCGGCTCTGTCTGTCAGCCTCCTCTATCGGGAGGGGAAAAGGCGACAGCGGCTGATTTGCAGACGTTTGAGGAGAAATTAGATCAGTTTGCAGACAGATTATACACACCACCTCAGGGGTTTTCAATGCAGCTGTATTTTTATCAGAAAATGCTGATAAAAAATTATTATTCAGCCGTATTTTGGCACCACCCTAAGATGGAAGCCCCATACGTCGTAAATAGTGCCAATTTTTGCGCCGTCGTCTTTGACAAATTATTGGTGCGCTCCTACCACAAATCTTAATGTAGTTAATTAGATGTTTAAAATCAGACGTATTTATCTTGGTAATTAGCAAACTTTCACAGCAAATAGATGCCCCATTTTAAGGAACCGGTGATAAAACAGCAGATTAAGTGAAAAACACACTAAAAGCCGACCCGTTACCTTCCTCGTCCTCCCACTCTAAATCGAGCGATGTCCCGTCGTCGTTGGTGGAGCGGGTCTTAGTGGTGAAATCCCAGCTGTACTCCGTGTTGGGCGTCACTGCGTTTGCTTCAGAGGGAAGTCCTGCAAACACATAGGCGGTAGCTAAGCTGCGCAAAGGCACATTTCTCCTCTAAAGAAAAAAATCAAAGCTTTAAACTGGCACTAAGTTTGAATCAAGCAAAACCCCGTCACTCACTGTTGCTCCTGAAAGCATCCGACTGGGCTTTCACGTTCTGGAGGTAGACGTCAAAATCCTCCCCAGAGGTTCGTCTGTAAAAAAGCCGGCAGACAATCACTGTAACAGGAGTTTCAAGAGGGCACAGAAGGAAAAAAAAGACACATTCACAGACACAAATGCTCCTAAATAAAAATCTGTCAAGGCTTTTACCTAAACCTGGTACTTGCAGAGCTGAAACTAGATATGGACAGCTGAGTTTGTCAGCTTTTAAGTCCAAACAGTTCTAGTTGCAATCTGCTTATTAGTCAAGTTTCAGCAATTTATTGCTCTTTTCTTGTCACACTCGCTCCCATTTTCTTCTGTTTTGCATGTTGAAGCTCTACTTAGAACCCTCAACACCTCTCAACAGTGCAAAATGTTGATTTTTGACAATTTCCAACCGGCATTAAAATCTGATCAGGAATGTACTTGGAAAAAGTTGTGAAATTAATCACAAAAACAAAACAGTTTTTTAAGAGATGAATCTGGACTTTTTCATGCAGCAAGTGATACAGATAATTTCCCCTTTTATGTCATTTTCACCCTGGGAACCTTTTCAGAACCTTACGATCTCGTTTGTGCCACCAACAGAACTTCGAGCAACTCACTTTCTCTGCTGCGTTTCAGCACCCGAGCCGTCTGCTTTCCCCCGCGTCCTCTGAGCGTACAGCTGAAGATACAAAACAAGAAAAAAATCTCGCTGTTAGCAAAACGGAGAGGCAGGATTTACATGAAAACATTTCAGAATGTCGGTCTCATGTAGACGGATGCGTCCCCAACACCAGAGAAGCCGCAGGATGGAGAATAAAAAACAAACAAGCTTCCACGTTCTTTAAGTAAGTTGAAAACCTTTAGACCGTAAAAGTAAGGAAGACAGATAACAAGGATGGGAAATTTTCTGCTTCTGCACCACTAAGCTCGTCTTTATGAAGGTTTGCGCAAATCTGGCAAACCGTCAAGGATTTCCTGTTTACACTAAATCAATATAGCCTGTTTCTGCCGTATTAAAGATGGTTTCAAGAAGTGGTCTGTACATAATTTTGGAAGTAATTATTCATATTTCATTTTGGAGAACCCTCCGGGTCCTGGAGCCTCTATTTTTGGGTTTTATTTGCTCCCCGTTGGGGGACAGTCAACTTTTAAAGACGTCCATAATCACTGCTATGCAGATGATATTCTGTTGTACGCCTCAATTCACCAATATCCGTTACATTGCACCGACTCTGTTAAACAGTAGACAGCTGGCAGGTCTCTTTAACTAAAACAAGGACAAAACTGAAATAATTATCTTTGTACCAGAAAAACAGATCTCTGAGATAAAGGAGTCACTCTGACCTTTTGGTTCTCTGGCAAAATCTTTCCCTTAGGAGCCTTGGCATAACCTTTGCTTCTGGTTTTTCTTTGGATCCCCATATGAAGTCTTTGGTTCGTTCTTGTTTTTAATCGTCTACCAACTCGTCCTTTTGCTTCTTTACAACTGAAGTTTTGCAGAGTACTTTAAACATCAAACGGCTCCACGTTGTTCAAAAATGATGCTGTAACTCTAGCGTTGATGTAACTACAGTGGCTTCCGATTCATTTTAGAGTGCATTTTAACATTTCCCTACTGACTCGAAGAGCTTCTTATAGAGAGTCACACGGTTAGAGGGCTTTTGGTCTGGCAGACCCCTGAAGTCCTGTGATCAGGAACCTGCTGATGATTCTCCACACAAGATGAAGACAAACAAAAACACAGCATTGTGTTCAGTTGCACTGAGACTCTGGAACTCTCTTCCCTTCTGTTTGAGATCAATGGACGGTCTGGACTTTTAAAAATACATTTTTAAATTAGCATTTTCTTAATTTCTCTTATGCTTCAAAGTATTGCCGAGCACTTTGTCATTTGACACTTTGGAATGTATATACAGTTTTACTTTCTTAAGGTACAGCAAGTTTATTTGTGTGGCACATTTTCAGCGACAGGAGGAGCTGAAGCAGTTGGGAGATTTTCGGCAAGCTGTGCTGTGAGTTTCTCTAGATCTTGCTGCGACATCAGTCTTTTAATCCTTGCAGCAGGTTGCGGCTGATAGAAGTATGACTTTGTAACTGTCTTTATGTAACTCCGTTTTGAATCCCTCACCACACCACACCAGATTTGTAGTCTGTTCAGTGATTTCTAGCCATGCGTCCATTCCTCTTTAGGTCCCAAAAACATGAATCACTCCAGTTTGGTTTTTGTTCAGCGGAAGAAAGTTACGGCACATCCACACTTTGATTTGTTCCTTGAATGGGTTTGTGTTCACCTGGTGACACCATAATGTAGAGCTAAGTACTGTCTGTGTAGTATTACTAATCTTATTCATTGCTATAACCTGTATATATTAAAAGGGAGAGGCACCAGGGAATGAACCCTGGGGAACTCCGCATGCGACTTCTGTCCGTTCTGATGAAAAGTTACCTGCTGACACAAAGACATTCCTGTTGTTTAGGTAAGAATCGAACCAGAGACCCCGCTCTCCAGTCACTTCTGTAATGTATCATGGCCAACAGATACATTATGAGCAACAGTGTCGAATGATGCACTCTGTGCAAATAAAACAGTCTTAAAGACAATTATTTAGCCTTAGACGATAGAAATAGCTGTAGATGTTTTCAAAAATGATACATATTTAGGACATCATTTCTTTTAAAAAGGTCTGCGAATGTAACTGAAAATGGTGAATCGGATGCTCCCATTTAGACAGAACTTGTTACTTTAACAACATGTAAGAATCATCTGTCTATTTATAACAAACTATTTGAGTAGAACTGCACTGTAACCATGCAGATGAAATATTTATTGCTCCAACATAATAAACAGGCTGATGAAAACAAAAGAAAATCACATATATACACACACACAGCTAAAACGTGAAAGGAAAGCCAACACACAAACGAGAAGGAAAAGGAGGAGTTAAAAAGCCAGGATGGCCCACCTAGAGGGACCCCAGGTTAGAGGAGACGCTGTAAGGTAAACTAGCAGAAGGGAGCGCTCAGTGCTGCCTCACCTCCTTCATTTTTCGTTCACGAGCCAGCCTGGCGGCCTCGCGCTGGGCGGCATTTCTAGCCTCCTCTTCTAGCCTTAACTTCTCCTCCTGTGCCTCTAACTGAGCAGAAATAAAATTAAACAAACACAAAACAGAAAGTTAACAAAACAGAAAACAAAGCAATGCTGCAAATGAAAAATAATGATATGAAAAAAAAGAAGCCAAAAACAAAGACTAAAAGCACAAAAAAAGATAGAAAAGAAATGGGATCTGGAACTCTCAAAAAATAAAACACAAACATCACGTCTCACCTCAACTTGCAGCTTTTGGTCGATGAGGACTTGTTTGTCGGAGATAGCAGCATAGCGGTGTTCTCTGAGGTGACTGAGCTCATCTTCACTGATGGGCCTGGAAATAAAACGGGAGGGAAACAAAACGACGTCACAGTTTGAATATTGGTGAATCTTATTTATTTTTCTTAGATTCTAACCTGACTACCTGACTGCTTACCTAGGACAGGGCTTTGGGCTCTCAGCCTGCAACGCAAACAGTCACAGTATATTTAGTCACTTTTAAAACTCTGGGGGTAAAAACAGATTCCATGTTGTTTTATTTTATTCATTATGAAATGAGAATAACCATCAGGACAACGTGAAAGTAAAAGTCCCCCCAGACTGCCTGCAAGGAAAAAGCTATGTATATTTCTCAATATATTATCATTTGTATATTTATTCTAGATTTCTCCCCCTCCCTCTCTTTCTGTCTTTCCTCAACCAATAATATCTACGTGACGTGTGTTTGTAGTCACAATTTTAGTTTTCATATTTTTTTTTCAGTGAACACCAAGCAATGACGTCTCATTGACAAATTTTTCATAATTTATTCAATTTAGACAATATGTTGTAAGTAGCAAAATTGTGAATAAAAAAAACAACAACAAATTAACATTTTAATGACTCCCGGAAGAATCTTGAATAATTTGAGTCAGAAGAGCACTTCGTTTCCCTTTGGGATCGATGAAGTATTTTTTGATTTTAAACTGAATTGACTTTGTGTTTGTTTATAGCAAATTCCACAATTAAAAGTTCGTGGTTGGGAGGTAAAAAAATGTGAAGGGACATTGAACACTTTTGTGATACTGAGAATTAAAAAACTAATTAAAAATCTGACTTACCTCGTCACTTTCTACCAGATTTTCAAACTGGAAAAATGAAAGAAAGAAAAAAGAAACAATGAAAATAAACTTGAATATTGACTATTCACAATTCAAAAGGACAAAATTAATCAAGTCATACCTCGATTGTGTAATGCTCCCCTGTAGTAGAACTTCTGAAGTACTTTGACCTGAAACATATTTAGAGGAAACAGGTTTGCAACACTAGTCAGTTATTTTGGTCATTTTTAAACTTTCATTAAATGAAAGTTTAAAATGTTGCAAAAGAAACAATATTATGACATAAAACTATAATTCTATCAGCTCTACAATGAGACAGAAGGGTAAATGAAGCCGTGCAGAGGGCTAAAACATCAATTATTCACACTCAGTTTGGTGACAGAGCACCCTGAACGCAACACGGGGAACAGCCAGCTGTGGGTTGAAGACGAAATTAAAGCGAAATTTACAACATGCAAAAGTTCAGAATTGCTTTGGGAAAGGGAACGTGTTGGAACACATTCAAGCTGCACTGGTGTGAATGTATTTGTGACTAAGCTGTCAACAGTACGGTGGGGTGGGGTCGTCATTCCCCTCCCGAGACCGACTGATAGACCCACCGACCCCAAACAAACAGCAGCGCACAAACTGAGCGGCCTTTATGTGCAACCGAGTCCTACTTCCGGCGGTGACACGGAGCAGAGCAGCACTGAAGCCTTCCTCCGCATTCTGCCGTGTCACTTATCGACTAAAAACCGCCGCTGCGTTACCAGTAACCAGATACACCGGGTCAGGGGACGCTGTCAGGCTAGTTAGCTCGGCTAGCCAGCAGCTAGCCTCATTTTACCTACCCGCCTCCTCTCTGGATCCTGTTGGCTTCCCTCCTGAAGAGCCCCACGCAGTAAGCCCAGCAGTTACCCATCTCATTGTCAGGAATGACCGGAGTCTGGGGGTCCAGCTAGCGCTCTGCTGGAAGCTGCTGGTGCATCACAGCAGGCGGCGACGACATCATCATCATGTCCAGTCCTCTGATCCAACCACTTCCTCATCCTCCTTCCTCTCTGGCTGCTCACTCGCCATGCAGGGAGGAAACACCACCACCTGCTGTTCCACCTAGGAAAATAAAAACACCCAACAAATTAAAGGATCCACTTACCAGGGGCGCAACTACATACTTTCTGAGGTGTATGTGAACACACGATCTCCGCACCGCCTCGCTTCTAGTCCAGGGTTAATATCCATACAGCTCTCTCTTCGTCATGCACTTATAAAATACAGTAATTCTGTTATGGATTTTCTCCAGCAGAATTTCAACTGGGCCAATCAGAAAACGGATCAAGTTGTAAACGAGGACAAAAAAAACCCTTGGTATTTTATTCTATGTTGCATGCCTTTGTGTTTTGTGTTTATGATGTAAAGCACTTTGAAATGCCTTGTAGCTGAAATGTGCTATACAAATAAAATTTGATTGATTGATTGATTGATCTGTCCGCCTGATAATGGAAGAAGTTTATTTATTTATTTGTGTGTCTATAAACATATACATAACCTATAGGTAAGTAATGTCAGTGTCTTTCACTCATTTTGAAAAGCTTTTCTTCGTTCCTCCAACGTCTTTATCCCCTTCCCTCCTCCATTTTGTGTTATATATTACCACTGATAGCACATGGCCAATCGGCCTGTGAGAAAGTAGATGTGAAGGCCCCTAATCAGTGCCGTTCATCTGTTATAGATCATACACCCACAAACAACTGTTACATATAGAAAATTCCTACTGAAAAACCGTCCCGTTTTGGCGCCCTCTCTATTGCAGCGCCCCTATGCGCTGCATCCAGTGCATGCCCACTTTTTGCGTCACTGATTTTTTGTTCCACTTCACTTTTCATCTAGGAGCATTGAGCCTTTTTCACAATGGACGTTTATGGTCTACCCCTCTTGTGCAGGGTGTATCAGTGGTTATCTAAAGGAAAACGATCAAATCAGGATTCAATCAATTATTGTGTAGGCCATAAAAACGCATAACATTGTTGTGAAAATCGTTTTTTGGTCTACAGTTGGCCTGTTTTTTTTTTGTTTTTTTTTTGTTTTTTTTAGTTTTTTTTTTTTTAATTTAACATCAATTTAATACTCCAGGAATTGAACTAGTGTACAAAACTGCTTTACACCAGCAACTACATGGATTATATACTAATAACATCGGTATTAAATCACATGAAATCGCTTACAGTGCTGCCAGAGTGAGGTCCTATCAAATGACCCTGTTTGGGAGGCTTTAGCTTACATTTGGAGCAGATTATTAGCTTTCAGTGGACTCCAAACCCACCGTTTGTGTATCTCTCAATAGTCAAAGTTCATCCAAACGGACTCTTTCATCACTTCGGGCGGAGAGCTACAGTGTGGTAAATACCAGTATGTCGTTTCAAACACCATTCTGGTTCCATGACTGTGCAGTGAAAAGCCCAGTAATGACCAGGTGGAACTAATTGCTCTCGAGACGACGTACGGTCTCCAGGGAGACAGGTAGCCTCCTCGACGTGCGGACTCGTTTATGCTAACGTTTATGTACTTTAGTAATGTGTTTACACTCTAAGAAAACGTTACAGGTGGTAAGATATTTTGTTTTTGATTATATCTTCTTACGCATTTTTTTAGGAGGTAGGTGAAGCATGACGTCAGCTGAGATACTCCAGCACTCTTAACTAGCAAAACTAACTCGCAGTTAGCGCCGTTTTTATTTTCTCCGGCGGCTGGAATTCGGTGTGTTCGTTGTAGGTTAGCGGTAACCGCCGTCCTGCAACCGGTAACGCGTTTTCTTTCAAGTCCAAAACTTATTTTGTTATAGGAGTATGAGCCATTGACGACTGCAGTGTTTACACCAGCTGAAAGAGGCGAACAGACGGGGTCAATTTGTCAGGTTTTGGTCAGAAACTGACTTCTAGAAAGTTAAGGTACAGCAAACGGTAATAGGGTGTCATGTATGTCTTTTAACTACAACCTTTAAGTAATAGCGTCTTTTTTACTAAGTGAGTGTATGCAGGAAATTCTGAGTAATCTGTCATGGATTATAGTGACTAAATAGGAGATCTAGTGACTGATAACTAAATGGAAACAACAAAACATTTTGGTATTTTGATTTTTTTCCCCCAGCTGTTTAATATCCAGATGTTCTACTGTAGCTTTTCACAGCCTGGAATATTTCTATGAATAGCACACAAGCTGTACCTTGATCCAGCCTCGGACACACAAACAGGCTGGAGTCCCTGGTCAGTCTACATGTCAGCCTAAATGTGGTTGTAGCATTTAGCTCTGTGCCCATTTATCACATCTAGATCATTTTTATTATGTTATCTGAAAATCTGAGATGTTGTTTGTGTAATTGTAATTTGATAAAATGGGCTCTGCGTTAGGTAGCTTTTTTTGTCTTGTGAATATTGTATAAACCTTATTTTTAGGACTTTGAAGTGGGGCGAAAGTGAGACGTATTCTGGACAGGTCATCAGTCCTTCACAAGAGCAGTTAGGGTCATCTTGTGCTACACATTGGCATTCCACATGTCTGAACCTTTTTGTATCACTCTAGTTTGTTTTGTCCTGGTTTTGAACCTGAAGTTGGCCACCCCATCTTCTTCAAATCAGACAAAATTTGTGTCAAACGTTTGTGCTACATTTGTCCAGCAAAAAAAAAAAAATGTTTGTGCCGCTATCATTTTAAGGATATTAAGAAATGTTTCTACAGCCCCTTTATCATCAAATCAGACAAAATCAGGGTCAATCAACTTGACCATGTTTGTGCTGGTTTGTTCAGCAAAACTGTTTGTTTGTGATGCTTTGGCTTTGAAGATATTGATTAAAGTTCAAAGGTCAGTTAGATTTAGTAAAGTGCGGATATGAGGAGGTGCTGGTTGACCTTTTGACCTTTAAACTTTCATTAATGTCCGAAAAGCCAAAGCAGCGCAAACAAAAAAATTTTGCTGGACAAACGTAGCACAAACGTTTGACACCAATTTAGTCTGATTTTGAAGAAGGTAGGAGATCCTCACTCAGGTTTACAAAATTGTGTCTCAGCTTTTTGTGGTTCTTTATTTATTTGGCTTGATGTTTCGCTTTTTGGCAATGTTGCATCTTTTCCTGTTTTATTAGATTTTTTGGTCATCAACTTGAATCCTTTTTTTCTTACTTTAAAGCACCATTTCCTCTTAGTGAAACTTTCCAATGTCTTGTCATACAGTTACAGTAAACTATTTGTGATGCATTCAGTGGAGTCCTTTACACTGAATTCAGACTGAAGGACGGCTTGTGCTAATTTTACCAGAATCTCTTTTGCTCTTACCCAGAACTACTTTCCTGTGTTTATATTTTATCCCTGTTGACCTTGAATCCAGTAGTTTGACCTGCTGCCTCTTTGGGCATTGTGACAAAGTCTTTACTCATACCACCTCCTTGAATGTTACAGATTATGTTAAGCTACCCATGCAAAGACAAATATACTAACTTTGATTAATCTGAGTTTAATGATTAATGATTAAGTACAAGGTTCTGCTATATGCTAGTCAGATTTGTTGCAAATTAATTTCAGGTGTTCATGAAATATAACTTTGATTAACAAGCCAGATAGGGTAGTGTGCACCGCATTATCAATTATGCCTGTCCAATGTACAAGGCAGTGTGTGTTCTGCCTTATTTGGTTAATATTACTCAGAGGCTTCAATTACATAACATTCCCAATTTAATAGGATTTCACAGGACATGCGACATCACAGTGCTCTGCAGAGATCAGCTCTGTACAGTGATTTATATGTCATCTTAACTCATGATTGGTTCTTTGGGTCATCTGGCTTTATATAGATTAAGCAGAAATAGTGAGGGTCTTATGGAGTGGGGTCAGGATCAAATGACAAGTTGTTTCTGTTGAACATGAATGTTGTCAGCAAGGGCTTTGGCAAACTTATCACTTGTTCTGACCGCAGCTTGTGTAATGCAATGTTGATTTTATTTATTTAGTGCTCTCTCTCTCTCTCTTTTTTTTTTTTTTACTTTTTGTACAGTCACTATGCACAACAGGGTATTGTTTTCACAGCAGGGAGAAGTTGATTAGCAACTCAAAAACGTAAATATCTGAACTGCAACTTCAACTCCAAATCCCAGAGGAGTTGAAAAGGAGGCTTCATGGAGGCTTCATAATGGGCAAGGATCATTTCTCTGACTTCAATGTCTCTATCCGGCTTTTTATCCATATTACCAGAAATAAATTCAAAGAGGAGTGGTGGAAGCAACTAGGGTGGATCAGCAGTGCCTGCCAGCAACTGATGGGCTCATCCAGGACATGTTACTGTGGAATATTGTCTCTGAACTGTTAGCATGTCATGACAGTGATGACGTCATCATGCAGCAACAGTATTCAGTTATAGGATGCTTCAGAGTTGATGCAAGACTGACTGCTACCAGATACCCTTCCTGCCAACAGTCCACAACAATCCAGAGTTGTGGACTGTTGGCAAAAGTTGCTGCATTTTTTTAGTTCTCCTTTGGGATACTTGAAATATTATTGACTTGTATTGAAAATGTGAGTTGGTAGGATTTGGTGGGATACAGTGGCTGGTAAGCCTTCCAGCTCCCTTCATTTTGTCCCCCACATGAAAAGCTGCCTGATCCTTTCCTTCATAGCAGAAAGCCTTTGGCTGCTTAGCAACGCTGAATGCCAACTCCGTCTGGCTGTCCACGGCCACTCCCCTTTCGGTAGGATAAGGTGACATGTCGCCTCGCTCCTTTTGTAAGTGTGCAACCCAACCGGAGGCGCAGTTCCGAGCTGGACCTTGACACGTGTGTGCAGGCAGAGCATAGAGAAACAAACTTCCTCTTGATGAGGAGCTGCTGGGAGAGCTGCAGCAGGCCCAAATGGAGAAAATTATATTACTGAGGAGGAGAACAAAATCCTAAACTAACAACTTCACAGAGGGCTTGTTCACTCAGTCTTTGTTGATATTGATGCACGGCTGAGTTTGAACACAAGGCAAGAGGGCTGAAGGGATGGAGGCTGACTTTCACCGATGTCTAGCCAGTTTGCTGAGCTTGACGTTTGGAAGAAAAACGGGGATGGATGACTCTCCTGAAACAAAATAAAATCCAAATGTGAATGTATTTTTATCCATATCACTGGACAGAGAGAGGACTAATGGATTCTGAAGGTTGGTTCGTACTACACTTAAATACGCTCACTGAAAATGAGATAAATTTTTAGCAGTATTTTTGTTTTAGTGCTGTACAGCTTTGATCCCTCTGTCTCTGTTTCCTCATAAACACAGTCAGGACACAGAGTCTGAAGTTTCTGTTCCTTATGTAACACGCAATGCTCATTTACATTCTTAACCAGGACAATCACTGCTTCTTATCAGCATTTCACTTGGTGATTATGTTTCCTTGGACGAGTAGTCCCTGCCAAAGTTCAGTGTGTACAGCAATTCTTCAAGGCTCTATGAATTCAGACCTGATTGTAAAGTTTGTAATGCACAACAAAGTGTGTTTCATGGATGGTAAGTCTAACTGATATTTACTCCATGAGGAACAAGGAGTTGTATAGGTTAAAATCTTAATTTTGAAACTTACTGTAGCATTTAAAATTTTTTGCTTTAACTCATGTTTTTTAACAATATAATGTTTTTTGTTCTCTTACGTGTTGCCAGGTGTTTCATTGGAAGATTTAGTCTGCAATTAATATTTTAAAAAAGTAGTTAAAAGCTGTTCAATGTCATTGCACAATAACTGACAATACTGCAACCACAAAGAACTGCTTTGATGTAATATTTAGTTGCTATTATATTTTCAAGGAAAGGCATTCACACTGTGCTTGCTGATAATGTATCCCATATGATTATGAACTTTCACAGCCTTAGATGCCTTTGTATGACGAAGAATTCAGCTGCCAAGTTGTTTAAAAAACTTTCACTCATCGTTTAAATATGCATGATGGTTGCGTTAACTGTAATGCAATTACAATAACTGTTTATGTTACTATTGTGTGACCTTGGATGATTCTGTATTTTCTTCAGTGTATGTGGTTTTATACAACTCTTCTTTCACAATGTTAGACCTTAGTAAGCAATGAAGCAATAAATAATCCAAGTCATTAAAGGCAGAACCAAGCATTAGTGGACTGCCTTTGAAAAAATGGAAGTTTACGTTTGGATTTGGATAGGTTTACAGTTTTTATTTTTTAAATGGTAAAGAATGCCCTCAGTCTCTCTAGTTTTAATGTTTTCCTATGATTTGTGATCTGATCTCTTTACTCTTTTGTTGTTTTGTTTCTACAGTGGTGCCTTTGTTGTTGTGTCTGGCAAGCTTTGCTGTCCAACCTGCTTAAGCAAACACAATAGTGCCACAGCAAAGCTATTAAGATGTCAACTTCTCAGACTGAACGGTTG